AAGTGCTGTGCAGTTTCTGGTTTGCTGCCTTTCCCTCCAACTGCCCCTTCCTGAATCCTCTCACATTAACAGCTACTCCCCCACATTTGACAAAGGCTGAAGTTCTTGAACAACGCTGTGTTGTTGTTTTACAAATTCTGCATCTGTATTTACTCTCTCTGCATTTACTTCTCTGGCTTTCTGTTTCTCTCTTTCTGTTCCTGGATTCTTAAATGCTTTGGGGGAGGTAATTCTTTGTTTTAGGACAAAACACTTGTATCTAGAAAGACAGAGTTAGTGCCACCATCATATCATCATCACTAGCCACCCCACCTGCTCCCATTAAGCATCTGGAAATACACACAGTCCATGCCCCAGAATAGACAAACAGTGCCCCAGGTATAGCACTTGCAAATGCAGGAACCCAGAACTATGCTATATACAGAGCATACTGTGGAGCAGGAGAAAGGGACCAGCAGCAGGCATCCCTGATCTGAAGATAGCTATACATCACTGAGTGATTTTAGAGTGATGCAAAACCAGTTCTTTTCCTATTTGCCTGCAGAAAGCAGGCTTGAACCATTCCAAATGACCCCTGTAATACAGGCCTTCTCATTCTACCATCTAAATTGATGCTATAGAATGTTCCAGCAACTGTGGGGTTTATATGCAAAAATCTTTGTTGCTATGTGCATTTTTCTGATAAAAGGGTCCACAATTCTCCAATCTCTGATGAGTCTCCAATTGCTGATGGGTCTGATGGGTCAAAGGCTACTGAAATCTACAGTAGCTACAGCTCAAATCTCCTGGGGAAGTTGGGAACTTAGATGACCAGGGTGCTTAAGTGAACCTATCTGTCCATCTCTGTATCCATGGCTTTATGTTCCATCCATGGACCTCCTGTTTCACACTTGGATTTCTGCAGTCAATGTTTATGTCAAAAGGGTTCAAGGTCTGGAAATAGAGAAGGCAAGAAGAGGTCCACTCTCCTCTAAGACTCAAGTTCAAATGAAAATTCATGCTTTAAGTCTTGGCATCCAAGCCCAGACTAGAGTCCCTATTTTATAGTAGGACTGAAGTATGTGCTGGCAACTCACTGTGTCTTCTAGAACAGACTTCATTTCCAAGGAAGGAAGAGGACAAATACGTGCTGAGCAACATATGCAGTTTCTGTTCCAAACAGCTTGGGATGATCCTGACCATATTCCCAGGAGGCAGACCCTCCAGCTCTACTCCATTTGAGGAGAATATAGATTCCAAGAGGGTCAGAAACATGAGTAGCAGAGTTGAGATGTGAATCCAGGCCTTTTTGTCATCAAAATCCAGCTCTTTGCATTATGGAGAATTGTCTGGATTCAAACAGTAGCCCTTGGAAGCATGTGCTAGAGCAAGCCTGCTTAATCCCCACCTTGGGTCTCCGATTTTCATTGACTATTCTTCGCATTTGTTCAAGTCCAAGCAGGCTTTAAAGACCTAACTTCAATCTCACTTCCCCCATCAAGCCTTTTCTAGACAATTTCAGCACAGAGTGATCTCTCTGGACGAGATGAAGGGTATGAGTAGGTTAGGTACACAAAGGAGCGGCTGTGGTGGACACTGTTGATTTCATCCATTTTCCATGTATTCATATCTAACAAACAGATCCTGATTTTTGTGGAATACTTTCTCCTCCTTTTTGACATAGTAAGTAGTGACCTCATCCCAGTCCCAGGAGAGGACTGTACCTAGTGTGAGCCAGTGGTAGAAATCGGACCCCCTCACCCACTGGGAATGGTCAATAGTGAGATGTCAGGAGAAACCTTCTGGAAAGCTCCGGGGGAAGAGACACGAGACAAGACAGTCCTTCCTTCTTCAGAAATGTATTTCTATGTCTAGAACTGCAGTGGGCATCCTGCCACCCAGCTTGAGGTCAAAGCCCACTCAAGGACAACAGAGCAAAAGAGAAAGTACTACTTGAGCTACTGAATCCAGCAACCCAAGCCTGCCCTTCCTCCAAACCTCTGCTATGAGAGAAAATAAATTCCCTTGTAGTTAATGCTTATTTGAATTGAGAGTTTTTTGACTTGCTGACGAAAACATCATCACTGACACACACACTACCACCACTACCCTTTATTCTTTTGCAGTGTTGGGCATATAAGTCAGGGCCTCATGCATGTTAGGCAAGTGCTCTACCACTGAATTCAATTTTGAAATTTTATTTTAAGACAGGATCTCTGTAGGTGGCTCAGGCTGGCCTCAAACCTGTGATCCTCCTGCCTCAGCCTCTCAAGTAGCTGTGATTACACGTGTGTGCCACCGTGCCCAGATGCTCTTCTTGACATTTATTACAAAGTACCTTGTCATCTCTATTGTACTGTTGTCCTGTTATTTAACTTTTTCTGTGTTTGTCTTGTCTATATAACAAAACCTTCCAACTCACATGGATAGCCTCTGAATTCTCACAGACCTTCCAAGTAGCAGTCAAATCTGTCGTCTATTCATTTCAGAAATATTAATTGAGTCCTACTATGTGCAGGATACACAGATACAGTACTAAAGAGTGAGCAAGTTAGGGATAGTTCCAACAGCTGTGAGGCTTATGGTCCTAATGAGGAACACAGGTATTCAGAAATAAGCCTTGAATGGCAACTGGGAAGAGTTATGAATGGAGGGACCAAAGCTATGTTATGGTACAGCAGGAGGACTTGCCCTAGCTGGTGGGGGGGGGGTCAGGTGAAATATCTCAGAAACTGAGATCTAAAGGATGCATGGGCACAAACTGGTGAAAAGGGGAGTGGGATACTCCAGGTAACAAGAATAGAGAGTGTCCTCTCTTCTCCCCAAGTCCCCCTGCTTTGACTCAGGCCCCTGTCACCTTGGGCGTGGACTGTTCTTGTTGCTGTTTAACTGGTTCTTCAGCTCACAGTCTTGTCCCCCTCGCTCCCTCTTCCTCTCAGCTGTGAGAGCTAACTATTAGAGCATGTTGGGGGCCTCCATTATCCACCAGGACAAAGTCCATTTCTTTAACAAGGTCTGCGTGATCCAACTTCTCTAACCTCATTTTCTGCTCTGAGAACACCTTGCTTTAATTATCAACCATACATGACCACTGGATCTTTTCATACTGTTCTCTGTGCCTACAACACCCTTCCAGGCTTCCTCCGCATGGCTGCC